AATCTTCTAATGAACCAAAATTTATGGAAGTAATTCTGATGACTTCCTTGTTTTAAAGATGGTCATGAATCCATGATGATGGCCCATATTTTGAAATGCAGACAATTGTCTGTTATTAGTGAATATTAAGTGGAAGCTGTGAAAACATGATTTTCAAAGAATTTTCAACAATAAAAAATACTTATATTATCACAGGCATTAATTCTTCAACTGTTTTTAATATACAGAATAATCATTTGAAAAAGGTCTGAACAAGATGGATTTCGCATATATTGGCGACTAATTAAAGACAGACTCGGGATGAAATCCCCAAATATCATAATATTACCTAGAGACCTTTGAATGAGAGTACCACTGGTGATGGATCATAGATGTACTGTTTTGAAACAGACTCTAGAGAAAATAATAAGTTCTGGGTCTGAGAAATTGGGCAGAAAATATAAATCTCAGGACGTAGTCGGATTTTAAGACAATTTAAAATGCAAAAGGCACGGTCATTAAGGTACCTGTTCCCGACTCTTCTAGTGTCACTGGACGTTTGTATTCCTCCAGTTTTGCCCAACTTTATGGAACACTGTTCAACCACCCGTCTGTGCACAAGCGAGGTATCCATCTACTTCGTGATAAGCACCGGCTCATAAATCCGCCGTCATTAAAAATTAAAGACGTCTTAAAAAAGCACATCATCCAAACTTTGCCACATCCTCAATACAGATTTTTGGATGAATCTTGCTATCAAAAATTCGCTCGGAGCAAACAAGTTTTACTAGACGCCATGCGGTTGGAATTGTAGTTTTTCAGTGTACGAGCCAAATAAAAATGTGAGTAAAAAAATATTTTAATAACTAAATAACTAGACGTGTAGAGGTTTATGGAAAACACTTTCAAGAGATGCATTGACGTACCGTTCCCTATTAAAGAACATTCTTGTACAGCTCTGATTTTCAGAACTTTTGTAAACACAATATCATAGCATGCAAGGTGTATCAACCGAGCGAATCCAACAGCTCAGTTCTTAAGCGCGTAAAGACCACAACTAAGTTTCCTTTAATCAATAAGCACGCACTCCAGACCCTAATTTTAAATGTGCATGGTTTTTAGAGCTTGAAATACGTTAGAATATCCTAAGAAATCCATGTCATGATATTAGGGAGGGTCGATTTTTTAAACCTAAACCATCCTACCATAAAATCTCGTGAGTACTATATATTATGTCGTATGCTTATAGAAACGATAATTACTCCGTTGGAAAAATATCCTCCCAACACCGACACACCATAATCTACAAATAATCACTGCAATTATAACAAAGTTATAAACTGAGGCGTTAATACAAATAGTTCCTACCCTAGGTTTAGTACATTAAAATGACTTAAAATTACCTGCGCGAGGCCTATAAATTTACAGTATTTATACTTATTTTGCACCTGTTTGCATTTTCCCTGGCAAGTTTTCAGCTAAATTAGATTTAATTTACGTACATAAAAAGTAAGTAAATAATTTTAGATCCAAATCAACTATTAACAAAGTGATTTGGACACATAATTTTGGGATTATCATAAGGGCTAGTAGCACAAATTTTCACAGCGATGTGAAAATATAAAAACACGTAGGAATTTTAATAAAATGCTAATGATTATCAATATACAATTTTCTGGGGGAAATCTGCCAATTATTTACATTCTATATAGCCGAATTTCAGTGTAGAGGGGGTGTACAAAAATATTTAAATATTTAATTAAAAAATATAGTTTGATGCACTGTGAAATGTATATCATCTTGTGTAAAAACGCATTCATTCAAGAATAGTATTATGTACTTTATAAAGTTTATTGGCTTTAAAATTCTCCCTGATTTATTTTCTTCTTCAAGTTCATTTTTATTCATTGCGATTCGGATATCACTCTAAACACATAATATATATATTAGAAACTATTTCTCTTGTCTTGTTTACACGATTATCTTAGATGAGGATTTGTTTTTATTTTGTAATTAAAACAAATAATCATGTGATAAAAGTAAGCTTCGAAGAAAGAAAAAAAACAGCAAGGCAGAAAAATATGATCAAAGATCAGACGGCTCAGCTATAAACATTTTAAATAATATTTGTTTTTTACTTTACGTCAGCAAGATTAAAAATACTCATTCTTGTGTTTTAATTGGGAATATACTATGAAAAATCAAGTTTTTTCTTCATGGATTTCTTTGGGTGATGGGTGAGTTAGGATATACGTAGAACGATCATAGAGTAAAAAATATATAATGAATCTGCTTCTTCTTCGAACGGAGACAAGCTTGTGTCTAAGGCTTCACTTTGCACGAATATGTTAGGGGTGCATCCAGGAATATAAACCAGCAGGCAAGCGGTCTTTGCGATCGAATTCCAATACGACTGAGCATAAAACTGAAAGATAATTTACATGTTCCGAGAGAATAACATATATATTTCACCCACTCGTTCCGCTATTGTTTCGTCACATGCAAATATTCGCCATGGAACCATGTACAAATGAGCTTACTTTTCAAGACATTAATAGATTTTATTCTATCTCGCTATTTACTCTTTCATTCAATACTGTTTGAAGGATAAACTTTCACTCGGCCGATACCAGTGTCAATATTTTATATGAATTTATGGATCTGCACTTGAATGACCCTTTCACCTTCCATGTCAAAGAGATATATTCTCAATGAACACCTTAATTTCCGCTCACCATGAAGGAATATGGACAATCCTTTTTCTATGAAAACACAAGACTGTAAATTTACCTTGGATAAAAGAAGATAACGTTCTGTGGCATGCTCTGTTACCATTCAAATTACGTTTCGAGTAGACCTAGCGTTCACTTTAAACATCCAATTGCCGCTATGAATAAGTATAATCCATTTAGTGAATACAATGAGTATGAACATTTCAGCCCCCAAACGAGTACTGAAGTATCAGCACATGTGTGGGCAGTAATTCATAGGACTAATGTATAAGAAGTCTAGTATCTCGTGTTGCAAAACTCTTGCGGGAAGGATATTGGGTAACTTGGCAGTGAAATTGTACAAAATTTTATTAAAATGGCATAATATGACAACTAGAATTATCAAATATACTATGAATTTATCTGGAATAGCATTATAAGACATCTTGATTTTCTGCACTTATTAAAATAGGAATGTTGTTTTTATTGTTTTGATTTAACGCCATTTTGAACACAAGATAGGCTATACATTGCAGCCCGTATAACTTGTGGCGAAAGAACCCCCAAAATCATCGGAAAATACATCTGACCAAAGGAAAAACTACTGGCAAGGTTTCTCACAAATCCACATTGACAGAACGCGAGATTCGAACACACGCAGAGGTGAGATGGCATTGATCCATTCTTGTTAATTTTTGTCATACAATTTAAGAACCATTTTTCAGCACAAGATAGGCTGTACATGGCGGCCAATGGTGGAAGAACCCGGGAAAACCCCGAAAAAAACCACCCACCCACGAGAAGCTACTAGCAAGTTTTCTTACGTGCCCACATTGGCTGAGCCAGAGATTCGAACACACGCAAACAGAGGTGAGAAGGCGGAGATCTGTAACTGTCAGTGCTGAATCAGACCACTCGGCCACGTGGGGTCTCCTCTTATTATGAGAGTTGCAGTTTTGACAGTACGTATATCATTTCATGAAGTCATACATTTTTTAGGCACTGCACAACATTATATTTTATCCTTGTCATTTTTATATGTGGAGGGGATTCTGCAATTTCCGATAATGAGACCTTTTAAAAGATTTTTCAATCCTTCTTAATTCTTTCAATTTTAAACGTTTACAGCAAGAGTTCATGCAGAATCTACCGAAAAGTAGCAAGTTTAGAAACTACATTAAAATGGCGTAGAAAGATATAGCAACTACATGGACTACCGAGTTAAGTAGGATCGTTGATATTTTTCACGTGTTATTCGTGTATGTTATGTGTGTGTGTTTAACTTTTGTCCATGACTGTAGATTGCAATGATCATTTGCAAGGAGCTTAATACATAACTAATGTATGTCCGTGATTGTAGATAATATTTCAAGATCAAGATCATTTGTGAGCTATAAATAGGCTGTTTACTTGAATTTGAGGTTTTAGAAAATTAAACTGTTTACAATTTTGAATAATTTTCCGTTGGTATGATTGAGTACTTTAACATAAGTTAGTATGGCGTGTATTACTCCATCAATCAAGTAGGATGCATTGCGACAGATTCGCGGTAATGTACATATGGGAAAGGAAGTAACAGTGATTCATTTTTCTTTTTTAAATTTCAGTTTGCATGAGTATTTACTGTTGTTATTAATTTATTTTAAGAGGAATAGCTTGTTTGGACTAAAACATTCTTTTGGGATTATTGTCAAATTGTTCAAAGACATTCTGTATTGTATCATTGGTATATATCAGGACTATTGGCACATCTGTTCATTCATGACTGTTGAAAACAGCAAATTCAAGATCTAGAATTCGTTCAGAGCACTCTATTCTATTGGATTTGTGATCGAACTTTTAGGATTGTTCATGATTTAATTCACAATACTGTATGTTCCTCTTAAATTTTCATTATGTAACACAGATAATTAAGTTATTTGCTGCATTTTACTAAACTTATTGTTTTTATTTGCCCGTTACTTAATTTACGACAACAGATTCGCAACATGTTATACATTATCGACTCCTATGGCGCTTCGTTTATTGCGTTCTTTTTTAATAAAACAAAATGGACACGTAAAATGAAAAGTTATTCATGTACACGTTACTGCATAATAACCTATAAATGTTTTGTTCTGTAATATTGCTATGCTTATGTTTTATTCACATGTGTATAAGTTTGATTTATCTGTTGGCCACAATTTTTCGCACATACAATGACAAGAAACATGGGTATATTTACAACATGATGTTTGATGCACTTAAAACATAATTGGCTTATATTGCCCAGATAATAGGGCCTGAGTACCTTCCTCATGGACACACAGAAGCTACCCACACTGGCTGGTATCGAACCCACGAAAGCTTGGATTACGAGACCAATGCTATACCAATTAAGTTACCACGGCTCCCACTTAACTCAATAACGAAATGGACATCGTCTATATCATATTCACAAAATATAATAATTTCGCTTGATTCTCAGACTGTCGTATCTCATTCCAGTGAAACCTTTATAGAGAGACGAATGGATTAACAGAAGGAACTTCTGCTGAGAGATGTAAATGGTACTCGTTTTATAATGATATCGTTTCAACTAATTTGTTACGTAATTCAATGCGTGTGAACGGAATTGACCGATCATTATTTGCTATTTAGACCTCATTTCTTGGCTGTTATTTTAATCAAAATGGAATGTTATCCTATCGATTTTGACCTTATTATTCGCAAAATGAATGTTATAAAAGTATATAAAAAAACTATTACAAATAATACAGATCGCACGTTATTCTTATAAAATATCGCGCACGTTTCATTTATCACTTTGAATTTGAATCACACCAAAAAAAACCTACGGGCGTGTTCCATGCAGATATACCTTTCCCCGTTTCTCAGCTTATCAACACTTTTAAAGTTATGTTATGAGGGAAAATTTAAGTATAAATAAGAACATGAGAAATCTCTCTAAATTGTATTAAAACTAACTCTCCTTTGGACTCATTTTCATTAAACTATATTGGGAGTAATTTCGATTAAAATATATGTCGATTAACTTTATTTGACAGAAATATATTCTATCTTGATAAAGATTGTTTCCTTACAACTTTTGCAAGTCTCATTATTGTATGTGTAAATTTACTTAACAAAAACTCTTTACGAACAGGCAAAAAAAGTCTGTGTCTATACTGATACAAATTTCCGCATTATACATATATAAAACACACCAAGCAAAGCATAGAAGCCTCTCCATATTATTTATATATGTATATTCTAAATTCGGTTAAACGAGAACACTCACTGACGAAGAATTATTCAGGCCTACTGTCTGACTTCTAACTTGATCATAACCCGAAGTCAGAAGTAATACAAAAGAACACGTGGTTCTATGAGAACAAGACTGCACTTTCTAGTTTGAAGCACGCCATTTACATGTGAATGCCAGTATAGCACCCTCAGAGTATTACTCTCAAGGCATTACCAAAAAAGGTTAGAGGTGCCTTGAATTAACTATATAGAACAGTCTATAAACGCTGGCTCTCACTTTATGTTGCTTCAAGATTAGAGAGGTTCATCTTGTGTTTTACAGGTAAGACTTTGTTATGTTCTAAACTGTCTTATAGAATAAGTACCTTTGGAAGTTAAAGATTTATGATTGTAACTTTCCTATTTCTAATATTTATATAAGTTCGTCTTTTTAATTCTAATATTATAATATAATGAATGTTTAATTGTTTTAAGAACTTATATTTGTATTTATGATAATAGTTAAAAGATTAAAATGCTTACTGACTTCATGTTTAGATTTATTTTGGAAATTTAAATCTTCTGTAAGGATTAAAGAATAATGTTTTTTAATCTATTCTAAACTAGTATTTTATCCTAAATTGAGTAATATATATTTCTTCAAAATAATTGTTGCATTAATCGCAACTATTTTATAATCTTTAATTTAAGTCAAGATTTTTTATCTGTAACATATTCTAAAATGCGAAAGGCTACGAATACACGAAATTGGTAAACTTGAAAGGAAAAGTATTATATGCATTTTGTGTATTGTTCAATGTAAAGGCTTTTCTGCCTTTGGAATGTAGTACCGTATATCACCTATATGAATTATCTGAATAAACTGACTTTATGTTGCTTTAAGACTAGAGAGGTTCATCTTGTGTTTTACAGATCCCGTACACTCGCTAGCCAAGCAATTCCCTCCCCCCAAAAGGGATGTAGCCGTGTCTACACCATTATGAGTGACACCTTATCTTTGAGAGAGTCCGAACCCTCACTTCTTCTCTCTATCTTTCCGTCCAATCATAGAAAAGAACATTGCTAAGTGTTTACGAAAGGGATTCATATAAACGCATAACAAAGAATCATTTCGTAAAAGTTACATTAGAATAATGTACCCGATGCAACATCATGGTAGCTGATTTAGGATGATGCCATCTTTGGAATTGAATCCTCGCCCTTCATGTCACGTGTCCAGGGCCCTAACCGATGTATACCGCTTAATGCATAGCAGCAAACAAAATTAACACCACAATTTATGATAGCAAACTTGTACTTTATACCAAATATTAATTGCAAAGACAACCCTATCGTCTTAAACGCAGTAACAGAAAAGAAAGAAAACCAACAAGTTTTGTAAACGTCAACAAATAATTTTTTCCATATAATAAAAAGTGAAACTTTTGGAAGAACTTACAGTATCATGAATATAATCCCAATAGTATTGCGAATTTAGTCCTAAATAGTCCTAAATGTTCTGTCACAAATCCAAAAGTATAGACTATACCGAACTAATTCCTGCGGCGTTTTGAATGAATTCCAATTTTGACAGCTTATTATACCCATAGTCTCGGATTTTCTGATGTGCCACCAATCTTGATGTATTACAATGATATAATCCAAAGTGTCCTGGAATGAATTCACAATAATCCCAAGATTGCGATTCTGCCAGAAGCGTGTCAATTAGCACCTCGTATTTCCCGTGAATAATTTAAATAAATAAATCTTCTTAAACGTCAATTAAAACGCAGATTAAAATGATTCAACTAACTGATGTTAATATATGGAGTGAGTAATTTTAATATAATCAACCTTAATAGAAAACCTAAGACACAATTTGAGGACCAGGATGAGTGTAATTTTAATAGAAATAGTAAAACAAAACTCGTTTCTAAAAATTATAAGGCCATAATCAAAGTTGTATCGAGAACTTAAATCTAGTAAATTTATAGTTACCCTGCATGACATTATACATGGAACACAACTCCCACCCTTAGTTACTGATAAATGTCAATCACACAATGCAAATGATATATATATACGTAATATCATCAGCGACTCGTAGTCATAATACATTTAAAGATGCAGGACACGTTTGAAATGGTTTGATTTCTTTATTTTAAAAAAAAAATGAATGTGACCGAATTTCTAATGTCACTGAAAATTCGTCGAAGTCAGTCGAGTGATAGGACCTACATTGGCTGTATATAGCCTGCATGCATTTTCGGTGGACATGTAGAAAAAGACCCTTACAGGTGAATGACATCTCACTCCGTGTTTATGAAGTTAGCAGTTATTTAAATCTGAAAAAGAAAATCGAGAAGCTAGCTGTTCTGTAAAGCTTGCTAGGGTTGGCGAGATTAATAACACTAGAAGTGGATTCTGTGTCAAAAGTTCATAATACTAGCTGACATTACAACTTTGATCCGAAGTATATACTGGTGAATTTCACTTCGGAAATGAGTAAAAACAGAAATGTTTTATGTAACTAGAAAAAGAAATGGCGTCTTCCCGAGGTAGAATGTGCAATTTCAAAATGTCAGATAAAAGTAGACATTCTCTCATAAACGGACTACACTATCCACGCAAGACGGACACGCTATCCATACAAAACGGACACGCTGTCTCATTAACAATAAATATAGGAACATAATCCATGAACAAAAAATGTGTAAAAGTCCCATAACGAAGGTATACTCACTGTCCCATGAACGACAAATGCAGCCACACTGTACAGTGTTTGCTTATATTGAGCAAACTGTCCCCAAAAAGCCGAGTATTAGATAAAAACCTCATTGATGGACAAAATGTTTCATGAATATCAAATGAGCATTCTGTCATATTTGTTAAAAATATTTGCAATCACAATTTTAAAGTAAAAAAAATCAGTAAAATGCACATTAAACATTAATTAGAATTTGGCACGCTCCCAAAGGTATGATGTTGTTGTTATTGTTGTTGTTGGGCTTAACGCCATTTTTCAGCATACGATAGGCTATTCATGGCGGCCAGTATTAATGGTGGAGGAATAAACCGGGAAATCACCGGAAAGAACCACCGACCCACGAGAAGCTACTGGCAAGCTTTCTCACATATCCACATTCGCCGAATCCTAGACTCGAACCAAAAGTATGAGTTAAACTTGACGTACAATGTAGCCACTATTACATCAAAAGTTGAAGGAAGTTCCAGTATCCAAAGTACATTTACACTGGTAAAAATGAAAATTTGCAGAGTTTTAATACTTGATTTGTTTTGGGTGTTTTGGGGATGTTATCCCAACCAGATAGTAAAATATTGCGAATGCTAATAATAGGAAATTGTTAAACTAAATCCGTTAGGTGCATAATGACAGATCTTGGTGTAGGGGAGGCAACTGTTACACACAAAGTCGTTAATTGTAATATTGTACTCTCAAAGTTGTTTCCCTTGAAGGAGGTGACTTGTTAATTTACATTTTAATAACGTATGAACATATGAAACAAACATAATAGCATATATGAGAAGAGTACACTAGATTTTCTGAACCAGTCATACTTGCTATAGAATATATATATATATATATATATATATATATATATATATATATATATATATATATATATATATATATATATATATATATATATATATATATATATATATATATATATATATATATATATATATATGCCATGATGAAAGACTCTGCTGTGAGATGTTTGTTTGTTTAAAAATGCCTTAATTTACCGCGAAGTCACATTCCAGAGCTTGAATTTCGTAGTTTTCATTAGAGCTCGGTGTAATGATACCCTGTGTTATATGTTTTAATTCTGGCTTCACTAAAGATCATATTTGTTTAAATGGAACAGCCCTGATTGCAAACATAGTCAAACCATTGAAAAAAAAGGATAAAAATAGAAGATAAAGAAAATAATTAGAGGATGTTCTATTTATGTCTATTTCTTTTATTTCAGTTACACATGCAAATAAAATCCTTGCTTAGTAGCTCTCAGCTATTAAAAGTATTTCTTAACTCTTAATACTAAATGTTTTTAATATTCTTTTTAGTTTATTTTCTTTCAATCATCCGTGGTAAATTCAAATGTATTCTCTTACCTATTTCAATTTGTTCCTGCTAATT